TTACCTGTGAGTGATTAATCTGAAAACCCAAATTGCGGTCGATTATACAGTAACCGCCATTACTCTTAACGAAATAACCAATGTTTTTTTGTTTTCTCCAGGACCAACGCGCCTATCACTTCGCACACACTCACTATGCAGAAATGATTTTTATCAAATATTAGATTGCAAAGCGCATGTGCGTAAAATGGCTTTGACATTATCATTTCACGTTTTTCAATTTGCATAGATATCGCCAAAGTAAAATAGTTGTCAATAACCGATTTTACTTTTTATAAAAACATAATCGCAGTAAAAACAGATTAGAGTATTTTAAATTTAATAATCTTCCCACTTTTACAATTTATGAGGATGCATTGTAGCCTTCTTTCGCATTGAGTTTATTAAATGATCCATCTGGCTTTTCGTACAATATTACAATTTTGGGAACATTGAAGATATTTAATTTGAATCTTCTATGGACGAAGTACTTCTAAGAACCGGTAAAAAATACAGCATTTAACTATGTGAAAAATTTGATGCCATAAAAAGTATTGTGTTAATTCTTTTCAGGTAAAGGTCGGTGAATGAAATAAATCAATACAAGTGAGCGCATAAAATATAGTCTTGATAAAACAAAAAATGCTAATCAAATCCCGTTGGGTAGACTCCTGTCCTAATGTCAAATATCTCTAGACGACTATAAGTTGCCTTTCCCCTTTTTATTATCCTACTGATATGAGTCAGATTCATTCCGAAATTCTCCCGCAAGCTCTAAGAATAAAGCGCATTCAAGTAGCAGCCTACCCCTCATAGTCAAAAGGCGCGGTGGAAGATTCACACCGTAATCCAGTTAGTTGGTCTAAAATATTACTCCTCGCACAACTAACTGAGCAACCGTACAGGAAGACAAGGTAACATGCTCCAGAATTAGAATTCGGAATAAAGTAAAAACCAAAACCGAAATATCTTTAATATAGCAGTGCAGCTATCCTCTTGATCTTATTGCTTTATTAAACACGACGCGGTCAGTTGACATCTTATCGAGACCTAAAACAAACTTAATCGAGCCATTCGACGAAAATAAAAGGTCCTTTTCTTCGAGTTAACCTGAATTTTGTAGATGGGACAAAGGTCCTTTAACCTCGATGCATTTGTTACAATCACTAAACACAGGCACTAAATTGTAATAAGGGAGTTCGTGACAATGTACTAAGTCTAATGATTAATTCCTTCATTCATAGCAGACAAAATTGATCGTATTGATATTTAGGATTCATGTTGTAAGTTGACCTAAGGGAGCCTGAAACTAACGGCAATTCAAGGGTTCTGAAACGAAGGGTTGTTTGACGCCGATGGCGAAAACGCAGACAGTGAGTGGGGGAGGTCTTGATACATTTAAATGACACAATCCACCTTTAGAAATGCTATGGAATTTTTGAGATTGTGTAGCTACAGCTGTATTTTTCAAAGCTAACATATATATGGTGTTTTAATAATTAATGTATGGAAAAGATGGGACTTCGTGTATGGTAAAGTCATTGCTTTTGATTTGTCGAATATATTTCGGAAAATCTAAGACACAGCCCAGGTATCACCAGAACTATATAGAATGGTGCCTTGGTTTGGTGTCACTAACTTTGACGAATTGTATAACAGCATACTCTCCGTCCCTCCCAAAGGACACTTTCCAGACTATTTGTCAATCCAACAGGATTAGTGAAGGTATAGCCTATTTCTCTAGTACAGTAAGTACTTATGGCTAAGTTGGCAGACCCTAATACTGACATTTACACATACCAAAAAAGAGACCTTAATGAATTTGGTTCACAGTAAAGAAAGCAGTCTGGTAGAAAATGCAAGATGACCTCACAAGGAATATTAAGCAATAAAATTACGCCTTATTTTATTGCATACAAAACTGTCTACCAGCAAAAGTTGTCATCCGAATTGATTTGATGCGAAAAGTACTTAGTTCATTCGAATTATCTATGTTAAACGACTTGAAAATATTGTGGGCCAGCAAATACTGACGACATTTAATCGAGGAAGTGGTTTGTGTTATTAGAATTTGAGGTTAGTGTGAATGGGAACAACCAACAACGACTCAATTCCAAAGTAAATACGTCTTTATCATCAGTTTCAACGGAAACGCAGAGAATGAATGAAATAGCTCGGTCAGAACTTAAAATGACATTTTATCTCCATGGAGTTTAATAATAACTCCATATTCAGATCACAATAAATATTTAATCTGAGAAGTCGGGCTGTGACATAGAAAAGATTATCAGTTGCAGATATCTAATTTGACGAATTCTTTTTGTCTTAATGGTGCCGACAGCACAATACTTCAGGTCAGAGCATGAAATTATGGGTAAAATAATTTAGGTGGCATTTTCGACCGTTCCAGAATAGATTGTCCATTCTTACAACACAGCTTGCAGATTTTCCTCTTCTTGTATTGGGATTTAACGATGCACTTATTTGAAGAATTATTTATGAACTTTGGCAGCTATCCCAACAAAATTTTGTAAATGGTGAATGATGATCAGTTTAGTAGCAGAAAGTATTAATTAAGAAGTTCTCAGAGTGTTTAGTGCTATATTAAATCACTATACAGACAAAAATGCAAGTATCAAGAAATGTGTCATGGAGTCAGACTTCATCTAACCAGCTCTAAAGATTATAAACATTT